AGCTACGCAGATTTCGAAAATAATATTCATTTTTTCTATCATGTAAAGAGATTTTTTACAAATCGGGAAGAACAAAAAACTCTTACTTGGATCAAATCATTCTTTCGTTTACCACAACGAACATTTTTTATTATTATGTTTGGGTTCTAGAACAATCAATGAGACTCTCGCGTCATGATTGGTCTAGAGAAATCTATAGCCGGTGCTTGTCAACATTTTAAACATAACAAAATGTGACTCGATTTCAATGAAAATGATTTACTTGTGTAAAAGTACATATGACGTTTTGTGAAAAATCTGTACGTGATGGAGAAAAATGGATATCATTTTCGGATTCAACGTACAAGAATTACCGGAGAACATGTAAAAATTTCAAGACAGTAAAACAATCGCAGGCCTGTGTAATTTCCACAACAAAGAAAACCTTGTGTATTACAAAAATTGCAAGCTATGGTCATTACTAGATATATATATATATATATAATTAGTTCCGGGTTTTGATCAGAAGTTTATATTAATTTCATATATGACTATGCATTTCATGGAATTATATGTTTATTTCCGTTTTGTAATCTTTTTCAGGTAACAGCTATATTCAAAGATATTGGATTCAGTAACTTTACCGTACAAGTAGAAAAAGAAGAATATTTACATCATATCACCGGACTCAGTAATAGTTACCAAAATGTTTTAGTTTCAAATACTATTCAACGTTTAAATTCTGTAACAGTTATAAAAGCTGTATGATTACAGCTATAGATAATTTATTTTTATATTATTACTTTGTGTATCTCCAAATGTGTACAAAAAAATTGACTGATCTAAATTCCCAGTCTTGTGTTTATCATATCTAACTATGAACACTTCAAAGACCATCTTTCTCAGAAATTTTTATGTTAAATCCACGACTTTAGATGGGACAAAATTTCCGTACTTCATGAACTAGTGAACAATATGACACAAGTCTTGTTGCTGCTGACATGCTGTAACCAGTGTTAAGAAATTTAAAAAGGACCAGTTGAGACATTTGGGATGAAGTTGGTTATTAAATACCATCCAAAGTAGGTTTTTTTTTAGACTGTGCCAGCTTCACTTAAAACAGTTTATCAGCATGTATTCAGGTAGAGTATTATGGTCTTTGTATTAATTGATTAGACCAAAAAAACTGGTATATGTTATGTGTAACTGTAAAGATATCTTACAGTTTTGAAAGTGCAATATTTTGTCATGCCTCAGTGAATGATAACTGTTCAACAAGCCTCTTGATGTGTATGAAGGTTCTGTGGTTGGTTATATAAAAATAAAGGTATGAAAATGTAAGGCTTTGTGGTAGAAAACGAAAGGTACAGTAAGAACTTATCACATTTAACAAGAATGATTCTCCAGGTCCCATGCTGCTTAAGGAAGTACCTCCTCCGTCGTTGATCATGCTGCTTAAGGAAGTGCCTCCTCCATCGTTGATCATGCTGCTTAAGGAAGTGCCTCCTCCATCATTGATCATGCTGCTTAAG